GCTGAGTCCTGGCAAGGCTTGGCAGGCAGCTCCTCTATAAACTTAGAAGTCAAGGTAGACTAGGATGACCTAATTCCTAGATATGCAAATGGATGAGAAGTCAGTGGAGAAATTCACTATGCATTCTGGAGAGGGGGCCCAAAGAAGATAGATAAAGAAGACCAGTTAGGCAATCACATGTCTTCAGATCCTACTCTAAGGTACCCAACTAGGCAAGATCCTCTCCTTCACCTATTAGAAAACAGAACAGTTTCTTAGTTTCTTGAAAGTAGTTCAAACCATAGGGTCTCTGGCTTCTGGGATACCCAACAAAGTGGAAGTCAAGAGCGAAGCGGGAAAAGCAAGAGGTTTAGTTGAAAGTCGGCCCAGTGTAGAGCAAAAGCCCAGCCTCCTTTCACTCTGATGCGCACATCACAAACATGGAATTTTAGGACAGTGAACATCTTTTGTGATCCTGGACTCAAAGCTGGTTGCCTGTGTTTCCCATCCAGGGTGCAGTTTCAGCAGCTGGAGCATCTGTAGTAGGTCATGTCCTTCTAGTAAAATGAAGACCACCTATTGGGACACTCCTGCAAATTAGCAAGAGCTGCGCTCTCTCTAAGCTTGTTTACCTCTTTTGTCTGTGATTCCTTCCCAGCCTCCAGTCACAGCTTCTATCTTCTCTCCTAACAAGGCCATACCTCCTAATGCTTCTCAAAAAGTTCTGCCAACTGAGGACTAAGCTTTCAATTATATGAGTCTATGGAGGCCATTCTCATTCAAATCACCACCGAAATGTACATATATTCCTTGGCTTGGCTGTAAAGAATACATACATCTCATTAATGTACAGAGAATACCTAAAATAAGCTCCCAGATCGAGACTAGCAACTGCCTGCTGTTTCCTTGCATATAGACTAAGAAGAGTGATTTACTCAAAGCTAAGTAGAAGCTATACCCCTGGAAAAAGTAAATGAATAACATCTAATGTTGATAATGCTGGAGATAGTAGAAAAGGACATGTTGGGCTAGGTGCAACATGTAGGGTGCAACATCCCTGAGGAGACATCCCTGAAAGCCCTTGCGGTGCTGAAAGACCTGAATTATGACTCTTTGCTGTAAGTCTCACAGATTTGACATTTGCCTGTTCAGTTCCAATATAAGAATAAATAATATATTTTTAAACAGATACAATAATTTTAAATGTCAGTAGGATAGAGCTATTTGGTGTTGAAATGGCCTCTTGCATACAGCAGTCACTGGAGGACGTGGAGGAGTGAATAATGTTCATGCCAGTGACCCCAAGACATCAAGAAAAGTTTGTACTGTGCTCTGTGAGTCTGCTTGACAGAACTGAAGAAGTAGGGAGGTGTTTTCTGCCAAAGTATCTCTGTGCTACAAGTTCCAGCACAAAATAGGGTGTTTGACATTTTTCCTGTACCTCACAGGTAGTTTCCCCCATGTCCAGAAGGGAGGGTTGATTGACTGCAGTCTGACTCTCTGGTTTTGGCTATCAGATGAGTCTGCAGATTCCGTTCTGCCCTCCCAAGCAGCTTCCTCTGGGTCCTTGTCCTCCTAGGTCACCTTCAGGTCAGCTTGAGGGTCACTGTGATGCATGGGACAGTGCAGGGAACAAAGAAGAAGTGGGGGGATGGGCACACTGCCATCTCTTCTTACTCCTCACATGTTTTGATACAGCAGAGGTCCTGGGAGTGCTTGCTTGGCTGGCATTTTCCTGGCTTCCTGTCAGAAGCAGTCAAAGAACAAAATGAAATTCACAGGGCCCAGCTGACATGTGAGGCTCTTCCCCTTTGTGAGTTGGCTCATGTCCTTTTCCCCAGTAATCTTTCTATTACAAGTAAACTTGAAGGTTATAACAGAAAGTACTGGGCAAGAATGAAGCCCATTGTTTGAACCGTGGTGTAGCAAAGATTCAGTGTCCCAAGATGCCAGTATGTTAGAACAATTAATGCTCAAGTAGAATATTTTTATTTCTTGATCAAAAGAAACAGGCAAGCAAAATGATTCATCCTGTAAAGGTGTTTGTCACCAAGCGTAACCACCTCATTAGATCCTTGGAGCCCACATGGTAGAAAGAGAGAACTGACTTCTGCAAGTTTTTCCTCTGATCTCCATGTATGAACATGCATAGCATACACACAGACATACACATATATACACATGTAAATGAATACACATGCATACACACAGACATACACATATATACACATGTAAATGAATACACATGCATACACACAGACATACACATATATACACATGTAAATGAATACACATGCATACACACAGACATACACATGTATACACATATAAATGAATACATCACAGGACTCTAACACTAGACATAGAACTGTAGGCAACTAAGGAATGCTGAGAGCAAGACACAGAATCTTCCCTAGGAAAGAGCCCAGAAATTATTCAACCAAATGGACAGCTCTGAAATCATATGATTTCATATGTGTGTGTATATATACATATATATGTAGCAATAATGTGGACTCAGCAGGTTGTATATCTATGCATATATTTAGGAGTATATATATGTATGTGGGTGTATCACAACTAAAGAAAAAGAGGGCAGAGGCTATGGATTTGGAGGCATGGTACACAGGAGGTCTTGAAGGGAGGAAAGGAAAAGGAGAAATTATAAAATTCTATTTTCATTCCAAAGATAAAAATTAGCATAATAAAATTTAAAATAAATGAATAAGTAAAACATGGAGTGAGTGGTTGTATAATCTCTCTTACTATAAAATCTTGAACAAAGCTGTTTTGAGATACTTACTGTTCATGACAAAATGATTTGTATATCAGCAAGAACACACAAATAGTGATTGAAGATACTGGGATTTGAAAGGCAATGCTAAGTTAATGGCATGTGTAGAGAAAGGGAGACTCTTTGAAATGTAGAGGCTGAAAATACTAGAAATGGAAGAAACTCATAAATCATTCTGCAGGTGGCTGAGGAAAACCAGAGATGCGATAGGGTTGTCTTCCACACTTCCTTCCATCCTCCATCCCACCTTTCCCTGCTTTCTTCCTGTTCTTTCTCTCCCCAGGTCCCTTTCTAATCTTCCTTTCATTGCCCTCATTTCTCCTCTGCTTCTTGCCCTGTTAGTTACTAAGGGCTTCATCTATACCTGGCACCAGACCATGTCTATTTTACCAACTATATGTATAAGTTAATTATAAGGTAACAATAAAGATGCTTAAAAGTTTGATAATGAAAATTTTTACTGACATGTAAAGAAAGCAAGGCTTGAAATAATTAAGTTATTTTGTCAGTGTCGCTTGACTCGCATGCAGGTGGTAGAGCAGAGATGGGAAATCAGCTGCATTTCAGGTCTCCTACTGCATACCCAGCACAAGTAAATGCTCAACTGTGGTGTCAATGAGCTTCATAGTGACACTGGTATTGATGGCAGAGAATGCCATAGTTTCACTTTATGCTCTCAAGGTCACATGGTAGTCAGGGTACCTACTTGCCTGATTCCACACAACCTTTTTCTCTGTAGAGCCAGGTTGACAAATACATGAATTTTTTTCCAAATTCATTGTCATTTTAATGCTTTTGAGATTTAAATAGAGCTAATAAGTGTTACTAGAAGCAATGGTGAAACTATTTTATTCTAATATTTGTTTCCTTGTAGACAAAAATGTATAGATTCTGCGAGCTTCTAACCAAACTAAACTAAAGATAAAGACTTTTCTACATCAGGGGAAAATTAAGCTTTAAGCCAGTGA